ACTTGCATCCAGAATGCAGAAAGAACTCCAAGTCAGTAGGGATAGGTTACAGGAAAAGCTGTCAAATTAAATACAAAAAGGTATGTTGAGCTGGACTGTCAACATTAAAAGGTGCTGAAATTTGTTTCTTGACCATGCGGGCCGTTTGCAAGATCTTACTTCCCTGAACAGGGATCAAACCTGGGCCCACAGCAGTGAAAGTGCCAAATCTTAGAATGGCTAAAGTTAAAGGACAGAAAATATCTACTGTTGGAAGAGTGTGGAGTAACTGGAAGACTCACACACTGGCACAGTCTTCCTGGGAAATTCCTTGGGAGTGCCAACCAAAGCTGAATGCCTGACCCAGCAATTCCATTCCTACAGAAAGATGAATACATGTTTGCCAAATTCACGAGTGTTCACAATAGCACTATTTGTAATAGTCTGAACTAGAAAAAATGTAAATAAACTGTAGTTGAGAACCAATTTTAACTACATGCAAGAAAGCAAAGCCAGCCATATGTCAAACTCAACATCAGACCAAGTTAGAATCATTCCTAGAATGCAAGGTTGGTTTAATATTAAAAAATTGATTGATGTTAGGTGCTACAGGCAACTTCTTAGAAAAAGGGAAACCTATTGATGTTATTTACCATTTTAATCCTAATAAGAAGAAAAAACTTGTAACCTCATAGATACAAAAAAAATTGAGAAAATTCGTTACCCAGTCACAATAAAAATTCTTCATAAAGATTAAAAATAAACTACTTTAACATGCCAGAGTATGTATACATTTATATCTATATATCGTATCTATAGCTTTGTTAAGACCTACAGAAAATGTCATTATAAATGAGAAAATGTTAGAAACATTCTCTTTAAAATCAGGAATTCAACAATGGTGCCCACCATTATGTAGGAAGTCCTAGCCAGTACAATAAGACAAGGTATTAGGGGCAAAAAGACTGAGGTGGGAGACATTAATACAAAGCTACTTGCACATGATATAATTATTTATGTAGAACAACTACACATAGAAACTCAAAAGAAGAAACATGCAAATTTCCAGAAATAACAGCAGAGTTTAGAAATGTGCAGATAGAAAATTAATATATAGAAATCAATTTCATTCTATATGCCAGCAACAAACAATGAGAAAATTTATATAGAGAGATGACACTATGTGCAGTAGAATCTGAATATCAGTAACAAAAAAATATAATGAAAGATGTATACAGTCTCTGATGGGGAAATTCTAAAATTTAAAGAAGATCTAGGGACTTCACTAGTGGTCCAATGGCTAAGACTCCAAGCTCCCAGTGCAGGGGGCTCAGGTTCAATCCCTGGTCAGGGAACTAGATATCACATGCCACAACTAAAGATACTGCATGCTGCAACTAAGACCCAGCACAGTCAAATAAATAAATGAATAAAAACAAATATTAAAAAATAAAAAAAAAAAGATCTAAGTCAATGGAGAGACATGTTCTGTTCATGAACAGAAGACATGATTTCATTAATTTATCCATTTTCTCCAAATTGATCTATGAATTCAATGCAAATCCAACCAAAATCTCAATACGACTTTTGTTGGACTTGATAAAACAATTATGACATTTATATAGAAGAGAATGAGGTCAGGAGCGACCAAGACTCTTACGAAGATGAGCAGAGAGGAAGCTTGTCCCACCAGAAAACATGGACAGTGTGGCGCTGGGCTGGGGACAGAGCAGAGACTCCAGAAATGCACACTCACACACGCGCGTGCAACACTACATTCACAAGAGCACAGAAACAGTGTTTTCAATAAATAATTGAAAAATTATCTACATAGACAAGAGTAAAATTTCATTCTTTCCTCACAACATATACAAAAGTCAACTCCAGATGGATTAGGACTTTTATGTCAAAAACAAAATTTGAAACTCTTAGTAGTAAATGTAGGTAAATAAAGTTTTAAACCTCAAGGTAAGGAAAAATTCCTTGAGACAAAATAACATTGACTAAAAGAAAGACTGATAACTTTGGCCACAGTAAAACCCAAATCAAAACCTGTGTGCAAGTTCTAATTACACTATCAAAATGATCTAAATAAAGGTAGGCCATGCAAAGACAAACAATGAAACTATGTCATGAACCAAGAATTACGATGAATCAGAATGCATGCACCTGAGATCCAATGGGATGAGAAAAATGAATGAATGAACAAGGTCCTAGACAGTCAATAAAATAACAAAAAGATATGAAAGGTATAATGGTTGCAGGAAAAAGGAAAACTCACTAGTTGATATAATTCTGTATGTTAAAAATACAATTTTCAAATATGTTAATGAACTAATAGAAATGATAGCCAGATAGCTGGATTTTCAAAAAAATCCACTCACAAAAATCAATTTCTTCTTTGTCAACCAGCCACAATTTGTAGGAAAATATTTTTAAGTTTGATACTATTTAAAATAGAATACAAAATAAAATATATGTAAGTCTAAATCCAACACAAAAAAGTGCAATACCATGACAAAAAAATTCTAAGAGCTTATCGAAAGGCGTTAAAGGATTTATTTATGAATAGATATTCCACATTCATATAGATTCAAAGACTCAATAATGTAAAGAAGTCAGTTCTCACCAAAGTGATGGCTTTAACATCAATAAACATTTTAAAAATTTTAACTACAAAAATTATGTTGGTAGATCTTGACAACCTAATCCTGTAACTTGAATGGAAGTGTAGGGGGTCAAGAATAGCCCAGTCATTTTCAAGGAAGAAAAGCAAGGCTATAGGACTTGTCTGACCAGCATGAAGACATTCAACAAAGCTACAGTTATAAAGACCTTGTGGCATTAGCCCAGGGCAAAGAAACCAGTGGAGCTGAACAAAAGTCCAGAAGAGCCTGCAGGTGAGCGGGGGAGGGGCCGCTGGACTCTCCGTCTCCCACCACCTGCCAAGTCAGCTTCTGGAGCATTCAAGACTGGCATGTGCCACAACAGTGCTTCCAGAAGAGGAGGTCTTCACGGCCTCAGGGTTTGGAGACAAGCCGCAAAAATCACCAGCTGGAGGAAAAGCTTGACCGACTGGAGTTTATGAAAGGTTAAGGTGACTTTTGCTTCCGTGGTGGCCCAGTGGTAAAGAAACAGCTTGCCAATACAGGAGATTCAGGTTTGATCCCTGGGTCGGGAAGATCCCCTGGAGGAGGAAATGGCTACCTACTGCAGTTTTCTTGCCTGGGAGAATTCCATGGACAGAGGAGCCTGGCAGACTACAGTCCACGGGGTCACAAAGAATTGGACACGACTGAGCACCTGAAGTACAACCACGCGGCTTTATATCCAAAGTTACCATCAAGGGGTGAAAAGGCAAGTCACGAAGTGGGAGACAGTGTTTGCCACACGAATCAACTGAAAGAGGAGGCGAGTCCGAGAGTAGGTGGTTGTCACCCCTACACATCAGCAAGAAAGATCTGCAATCCTAAAGACAATCCTAAAGACAAAGACCCGCTTTTCAGGGGAGGAGACCTAGATGGCCGGTGTGTGTCTGAAAATAAGCCATTTTATTAGTAAATAGGACAAAGCAAATGCACAGCATCACCTCCTCCAGAGGCAAACAAGCCCCCGTCAGCACCAGGGACTGGCACCAAAGGGAGCCGCCCAGCACGCATCCGTCTGGCCACGTTCGCAGCGCCCGGTGTCCCCACCCGCTAGGTTCACGTCCACCGTTTGAAGATGTCATCAAGGTAAAATGAGGTCACGTCGGAGGAGGGCAGGGCCCAATCCAACAACTGCTGTCCTTTCTGGACAGAGCGACACACAGGAAGCGCACCGCGTGAAGCAGGGCAGAGACTGGCGCGATGTGTCCGTAAGCCAGGGGACAAGGGCTGCCGGTGGCCGCCAGAAGCTGGAAGACGCGGGAGGCTCTACAGCTCTGAGAGCCCGGCCGTGCCAACACCTCGGTTTTGGACTTCCAGCCTTCAGAAAAAAATGTGGTTTCAGCCACAAGTTTGAGGGACTTTGGTACAGCAGCTAATACTGCTTTTTAGGCTGAAGGTGTGTGTGTCTAGTTGGCACTAGGAAGATGCCTGGAGGAAGCACAGTGTATTACAGAAAAAAACGTGGGAATTGCCCTCATGGAGAGGTGAGTGGCTAAGTGGCAGAGCTGACGGGCCTCGGTGCCAGACTGGACATGGGGTGAGGAGAGCGGGTGAAACGAGGTCGCCTGCGAAGGCCCTGCCAGCTCTGAAAGCACCGGCTCCTCGTGCCTGGAGCTGGCAATTCTAGGGGGCGATTCGCGCGTGTACTGAACATCTGCAAGGTGTCCGGCACAGCCCGGGTGCGTGGGTGCAGCCAGAACGCGGTCCCTGAGAGCTTACAATCTGCAGGGAGACAGAGATGGCCGAGAGGCTGCTAGTGCCGCGGTGAGAGAGACAGACACATTGAGAACCCAGCTGGGTGGCGGGGACACAGCAGCTGCAAGTGTCCTGGTGAGCCTGTGGCGGTGAGTGCACCTGGGACGCGGCAGGCGGGGCTGTGGCCCTGGCTGGAGGTACTCTCTCGGCCACATCTGGTGCCAGAGCCACTGGAAACAGCACTGGGGTGCAGACACAGACACGCCACCCTGGAGACCGGGGGCTGCCCACACCTGTCTACCCGTGCGCAAAGCGCACCCCCAGGCCAGGCTCCTGGGCCACACACGGTCTGCTCCATCAGAAACTTCAGAAAACAGCACAGGGGCCTTGTGCCGGCCACCACCCGCCCTTGGCACGAGGCGTTATTCAAGTCTCCAACTCAGCCCCTCACTGGCACCGCATCCCCCAAGGGGAGGGGCGAAGGCTGTCGCCCAGCTGGTCTTGTGCAGGGTACCTGGTGCTCAGGGGACCCCAGAACCGCTGCAGCAGGACCCTCATTATCCCGACAACCTGACCAGGCCCAGGTGCTCCAAGCTCAGGCCAGTGCCCGGACCACAGGCCCTGCCCTGGAAGATACGGACCCCGGGCTCACAACAGGTGCAAGCCCCGTGCTGTTACCTGGTGGTCTGGGCGGCTGAAACGGAGCACCCTCTGCGGTCTTCACACTTGGAAGCACAGACGGCAGTGGGTGCACATGTAACGAGTTTGGATCTGAGTGTCTGTCGGACTCGGCCTTGGCAAGAGCGGGGCGGGGGGCCTTATTGTCTGGGTGCTGAGAGGTGCAGGAGGGGAGTTCGATCTTCCTGCCAGACTCCCTGTGGCCACTCTTGGCTTTAGTGCTCCTCTCCACCAGCCTGTGTAAGTGCACAGGCAAGGTGCAAGGAAGTACCTTTTCGCCTATCAGTTTCAAATCCTGGTGCAGAGCCATGAGTGGGGGTCCCCGGTCCAGGTCTAGCATGGCTGAGGGGCACCTCTGTTTCAGCAGATGGATGTCCGAGAGCGGAGGCACAGAGTCAAAGCTGGCGATCACTGGCATCTGCTTCCTGGCTTTCCTCATGCCCACGCCTTCCACGAGCAAATCGGAGCCCTGGAACGTGGGCAGCTCCACCGCAGGCTGGGGACAGGGGGGCTAGGTCAGGGGGGCCGGCAGGCCCTTTCCTAGTCTTCGGTCAGGTCTGAGGCCTCAGGGAGAAGCCCCAGCTACACTTCCCTAACTCTAACCCTAACCCTGCTTCCCCCCACCCCAGGGAGGCCAGGTCACAGGGTCTTGCTGCCCTGCCTGCAGGAGGGCTCCCCAGGGGAGCAGCCCCCTATAAAGACCCATGAAGGAAGGCTGGATCTTCACCCCAGGAGGAGGGGGGACACTGCAGGAGACTCCAGGCCCCTGTCCTGCCTGGCACCACAGAGGTGGAGGTAGTTGGGGACGAGAGGTTGCAAGAACGGCAAAGGCCAGCTGGGCCGCGTGAGACCCCCCGGGATGTGCGGAGAGACCATCCCCAGGTGGCCAGTGGAAGAGAGACACCCCCCCCCCACCTGTCTCCACAGCAGCTCGAAGTTGCCGATGTCGCAGTTTCGGTCGGCCTTGCGGTCCACCACCACCTTGATGGTGTCCTCCTGCACCTGCGCGCACAGCTGCGCCGTGACGGGCGTGGACGCGTGCATGGTGGGGCTGGAGTTGATCTCGATCAGCCAGGGCCTGAAGTCGCGCCCGAGGATGAAGTCGGCGCCGTACAGCTCGAAGCTGTTCTTGCGTGGCTCCACGTGGTCCTGGGCCACCTTCATGGTGTTGGTGATGGCCCTCTTCATGGACGGGTAGATGACGCTGTTCCACACGGCCCCGCGGCCCCTCTTCTGCAGGTACTCCTGGAATCGGGTGCTGGTCCACATGTTGTGACAGGGCAGCAGGGGGCTGCGGTCCTTGTCGTTCTTCAGGTGCTTCTGGATGGAGTTGTTGCACAGGTGGATGGCGCTGCGGGGCAAGGCTGGGGTTAGGTGTCAGGAGCTCAGCCCCCTTTCCTTCCCGCGGGCCGAGACGCGGAGGCTCCGCCCAAGACCCGGTGCCCCGTCCCGACTCCGCCCGATGCCCCGCCCCCGACTCCGCCCGAGCCCCCGGCTCCGCCAGAGGCCCCGCCCCAGGCCCCACTCCGACTCCACCCGAGGCCCCGCCCCGACCACGCCCGAGACGCGGAGGCCCCGCCCCACCCTGCCCGATGCCCCACCCTGCCCGAGGCCCCGCCCCGGCTCCGCCAGAGGCCCCGCCCTGACTCCGCCAGAGGCCCCACCTGAGACGCGCCCCCCAGCCCTTCCCACAGACCCTGCCCACTAGCGCAGGGCGGATACAGGTGGGCCCCTAAGGGGTCCCCTCTCCTCCTGTTCAACCTGGGGGCCCCGCTGCGGGAGGCGAGGTCTGCGGAGAAGCCAGCCAGCCCCCGGCCACCAGCGAGGGCCTCCAGCCAGTCCCACCCTAGGAGCGGTTTCCCCTCCTGCCGCTGGGGGAGGGCTGGCACCCCGAGAGAGGCTCGCTAACCGAAAATTTCAGCTGGTTCCTTTGTACCCTGGCCTTGTTCTAAGCAAGATTTAAGTTGAAGAGCACCTATAGGAGATTGTAAAATACATGCCTCCTGTCAGTCATTTTCGTTTGAGCACGTCCTTTGCCACTTGGCTCTGGTGGGGAGGCCCCGCCTGTGACCCGTAAGACAGACACAGAAACAGGACGCGCCCCGGACCCTGAAGACACGCTGTGGGGGCGGACACAGTTCAAAACAATGTCAGGGGCTCTGTCAACCTGGGGGAGGGTTTCGTTCCCAGATGGAGACGCAGCTCAGAGACGACGGAGGCCCGCTGGGCACACAGCCCACAGCTGGCAGGGCCTGGCAGGCTGGAAGGGGCCCTGTGGACCTCCCACTGCCCAGCCACCCAGAGTCCTCCGCCGGGTCCCCCCGGCCTGGTGGGCACTGTGCTCCTTGAGCTGCCGGCCGGGGCTTGTCCCAGAAGCCTGCCCCTGCCAGGTGACTCCAGGTGCACTCACAGCTCCAGCCTGAGCACAGAGAACCCCCTCCTGCAAGGTCTCTGTTAAGCACCCTTCGGCCTCCGTGATTCCTATGGACCCCCGTATCCCCCACCAAGACGCCTGTGCACCCCGGCGCCCCGAGTGTGGCCACAAAGCAGAACCACATTAGCCCTCCATTCAGACAGTGAGGTGGCACCGCCGACCTGTCCAGGAGAATGGCACGTTCCCGAGACTTCGCTGGCGGCCTCCCTCATCCCCACCGCACACATAGCCTGCCCACTCTGAGGCCCTGGTGGGTGGCAGGTTCATCCACCAAGGGGCACCCATTTCTGGAGGTCTGAGCCCCTGCCTGACACCCCACCACCTCGACACACAGTGCCCCCTGCACCACCCTGGCCTCTCATGTGTCAGGTGCCCTCTGCCCTCTCATTCTGGCAGGCGTGGCTGGGGTCCTCCTCCAAGGACGACTCAGGCCGCCCTCATGTTGTGTCCCCCAAGCTGCCTCATCAGGGGCCACACCCCACCTCCCAGATGCTTTAGCAACTCCCGACCTGCAGGACGCCCGACCCGGGGCTTTGGGGACTCACAAAGAGAATGCCCTGCAGGGGCTACTGCAGAATTTGACGGGCTGGCCCCCAGGGGACTCCCAAAGGAGCCCTTCCTGTCCTTCCCCACATGCCGAGTGGACTGAGAGCGCCGGCCATGCAGAAGGCAGGGCCGCACCCTGAGCGCAGCCCACGTGGGTCAGCGGACGAGCACGGCTGGCCCCTCAGCCTCCCCAGCCACCACAGAGGGCGGCTCCATGCCAGCCGGTGCCCCCAAGCACGTGGCAGACGGTGCTTTTGGGATTTCCTGGAGAACATACATGCCCCTTGGGGATGCAGGACCCTGGCCTTGATGGGCAGGGGGCCAGAGCCCACCCCTTGCAGAGGGAGATTGCAGAATCTCCCTGGCCCAGTCAGGACCCAGCGCCCCACCGGACACGAGACCAGCCTGGCGCTCCATGCTGGTGGGAACCCGCCCTGGACAGTGCCAAGCTGACCCCACTGACCTGTCCAGTTTGTCCAGGGAGAAGCGCTGCGTTGAGAAGCGCAGATAGCTCTCCTTGTAGAACCAGATGGTCAGCGGGTTCCAGTCGGTGACCAGGAACCACTGCCGGATGTCAAATTTGGTGTCATAGATGAGCAGCGGCGTCTCGATGTACTTCTGCACCACCCACTTGTTGTCCTTGGCGGGCAGCTGGTCTGCAGCCACCAGCTCCAGGATCTCCTCCACGTGGTTCATGCACACTATGTCTGCAAGAGGCCACCGCTCAGCCCGAGCCCCAGCGTGCTGCCCGAGGACCCCCAGGGGCATGGCGCAGCGGCTCTGCCCTCGCGGTCAAGGCCGCAGCCAGGGCAGCCCCCCTTGCTCACCCACTGCGAGGCCAGCCCAGGGCTTCAGAGAGGACACGAGAACAGGGAGGGCGGGGGGGCGGGCGGCCTCATGGGAATCAGCAGGCAGCGCCGGGCTGTTCCAGGGGCTCCGAGGGCCCGCGAGGCTCACACCCAGCGTGACCGGACAGACGGGGCAGCGGGGGAGGCGGGGCTTGGGGTCCCTGGGCTGCAGCATTTAATGCTGCCGACAGGCCCCGAGCGCTCGCTGTCCTTGCTGGGACACCCCTGAAGCCTGAACTGCGTCACGAGGCAAAGGCCCCCCCACCTCCCTGCCACCTGTGATGGACGAGCGTGAGGAGAGCTGACTGGTCTCGAGGACAGCTGCCGCGATGTGGGCAGTCTGGCTCTTGGGGTGGGTGGGGGACGCCACCTGCAAGGCTGGGGGCAGAGGACACGAGGGAGCTTCCCTCACAGGACGAGAGACCTGGCTGTTCTGTGACAGCAGGGTGAGACCTCCCCACCCTGCAACCAGGACCCAGCACGAAGCTGCAGGTCCCGGACATTGTCCTGGACCAAGACCAGAAGGGGCACCAGGGCCGGGGCAGGGGCAGGGGTCAGGGGTGGGCTCGGGGGTGGGGTCAGGGGCAGGGGTCAGGGAGCGGGGGCATCAGGGCAGGCGCAAGGGTGGGGGCACCAGGGTGGGAGTCAGGGGCAGGGGTCAGGGGTGGGGTCAGGGACAGGGGTCGGGGCTGGCAGTACTTGGGTGGGGCAGAGGATGTGGGGCCACCAGGATGGGGACACCAGGCTGGGAGATAGGGTGTGGGGCACAGGGCTGTGGGGCAGGGGCATGGGGGTCACCAGGATGGGGGAAGGGGCTGGGGCACAGCCAGTGACCAGGCAGAACAGGGTGCATTCGGTTCTGACCAGCAGGGTTTGAGGAGTCTGTGGAGCATCCCTGAGGGGGGCAGTGTGGGCAGCGCGAGGAAAGTCTAGGCTCAGGACAGAGCCGGGGGGGCCCTGCCGCGGCCCCAAGGGAGCAGGTGGAAGCCCAAGAAAGAGAAGGCTTCAGGATGGAAGATGTTCAGGACTGAATGCAGGAATGTCACAAACTATTAATAAAGATTTTAAAAAATCACATAAGAGGTAACAACTTATGAATTTACAACAATGATAAAAGTCCTCAAATAACCCAAGCGGCAAATAGAATACGCAAACAAAAGGTAATATCTACTTAGATAGACATCAGGTAATGTCTTTTTTATAGGAGAAAGAGAGCATCCCATAACATGAACAAGAGGATGCAGGTAAGGTTGTACTGTGAAGGCATTTCCAGAACCTGAAAATTTCTAAGCTGTAAAAGGACATTTGGGAATAAATAAGCTCAGCATTTAAGTCAGCACCAAGGGGAATAATCCCTCATGGGAAGATAGAAAAAATGCAACTGAAAGATGGTTCTTTGGGAGCGCTCATAAGATTAGAAAACCACCTTCAAACTCTATTTTTAAAGGAAGAATGCACAGTCTTTATCATTAGGGATAAAGAGGAGGACACGGGCATAGCTGTGACACGGGAAGAAGTAAAAAGCTGAAGCCAGGGGTCACCAGGGACAGGGCTCACGGGGGGCGCAGGACAGGCACCTCCAGGGGTTTCATGACCACCCAAGGACCAGGCCCCCAGATGCTGGACACAGGGACCTCCCTCCAGTCTAGCAGCTGGTGAGCAAGCACATACAAAACGGAACACAGGAGGCCTGTGTAACTGAGGAACAGAGATGGGACGTGCTAAGTAACCTTAATTACTTGGCAAAACAGAACAGAAGCTGTGATGAGCAGGGTCGTGGGACGCCTGCTCCCCAGGACCCGTGAGTCCGGAGCCTCCAGGGAGCCCAGCACCCAGCCCCCGCCCCGGGCTGGCTGTCCGCGCAGGCACCCGGCTGAGACTCACCTCGGCCGCGGGACTTGGCCGCAGGCTTGATGATCCAGATGTTCCGAAACCCGTCGATCTCGGTTTGGGGGTTCACGGAGGTGATTTTGTTCAGCAGGGCCTGGCACTGCGAAAAGTGATTTCTGGAGCTGGGGATGAAGGCCTCGCCGCTACAAAGTAAGATCCAGAAGGCCCGTGAGGTCTTGAGGGTGGCCGCCCCGAGGAGAGGGTCGGGGGCAGGCTTGGAACGTGCCCCTGCCCACCCGAGGGCCACCTGGGAACGTGGCCTGCGGGGAGGTGGGGACCACCTACTTGAGGATCAGACTTCAGGGACACCCCCGGGCGCTGTGCCTGGGCCCAGACAAGGTGCTGGGAGACGAAAGCCAGGGTCCCGGTGCTGGGGACCCCACATCGGGGTGGGCCTTGCAGGCCCGCACAGGGAAGCCGAGCTGCGTGGCGGTGGCACCAGGGTCCAGCTTAGTGTCCCATGGGCTTGACTGTCAATCAGACTGGCTCGTGGCCACGAGCTCACGGCAGCCATGGGGCCGGCTCGGGAAGACACCACAATAGGGGGATGAGGCCAGCGGACGGCACAGTGTCTCCATGGAGTTAGCTCTTGCATCATGGAACCACGCCCCCCCCCCCCCCCCCGGGCCGCAACACACTCCCCGGCGAGGATAGACTGCAGCCAAGGGTGCTAGGCCCCCTGGCCTCCTGCCGCACCCACGTGACGGCCCTGGCGTGGGGAAGGAACTTTCTGGGACATGGAGCTGTGTGCACAATGTGTACCCACCCGACGGCGGAGAGGAGGGCAACTGGGAGGGAGAAGCGATGCGGGGGTCCCCAGTAGTGCGGGAGAGGCCCCCACAGTGAGGAGCCAAGGCTGGGGATGAGGAAGCAGGAGCCTCCCCGGTGCACGGGATGCGGGTGGCAGGTCGCACGGCACCTCGCCTCCCTGGTTCTAACAGGACACAGTGGAAGGGAGTCCCCCGAGCCCCCGGCCTGCCTTGGCGGCGCACACACTCTGCCTGACCTCAGGGTGAAGACTGGACCCGGTGGAAGCAGGCGTGAGTCCCACGTGGCCCTGAGCCCTCCCGTCCGGCAGCAGAGACCAGACCAGATGCTGGGTCGGACGAGGCAGGTCCCCCAGAGCCCACCCTGCTGGCAGGGGCAGAGCCGCCCAGGGGACCGGCGGACGCTGGCGACACGCGCAAACGCAACGTGGGCTCAGAAGGCAGGCCGGGGCCGGTCACTCCTCGGGGAGGGCCCCCACGGTCTCCCCAGAGCACTCCGGGCCTTAGCCTCACGCCGTGGCCCCTGGCAGGGGGGAGTCTGTGCATCACAGTAGGAGGACTGTCACCTCCCCCGAGGGCAGAGAGTGTGAGGAAGGGGGCGTCCAGCCCAAGGTGGGAACCTGGCCGAGCTCCAGGCCTAGACACCCCATAGTTACCAGAGAACAAGCACCGTCCCCTCAGATGCCGATGATAAGAAAGGGCCCAGCACCTGCCCTTCTGGTCCTGATGACACACACATCACGTGGGTGGACCCCACGTGGGCGCCTGAACACGGAAGGAAAGGAGGCCTGAGCAGGCTGACCACCCCGGTTCCCTAACACACTCCGCAGTCGCGCTCGGCAGTGGTGTGGGGGCCGCTCCTGCCACCTTCTGGCTACTCCCAGGACTGCAGGCCGAGGGCACAGCCCCGCAGGGAGAGGGGACCTCTCCCACACAGGTGCTCACGGCAGGGGGTGGGGGGGACGGACAAGGCAGGTCCAGATGCAATCACCTCCAGCCCCTCAAGAGGTTGGCCTAGAGACCACGGGTGCTAGACCCCTCCGCCTCCTCCCGGTGTGGACGCCTCCTAGCCTTGAACTTCATACCAGGGGCTGCCTTGCTCAACAGCGTGATGTGAGGGCTACCTGTGGTATTGCGGGCGTCAGCAGCAGGTTCCTTACACTGTTGGTTTCTAGACAGCATATTAAAAAGGTCCATATAGTCAAGGCTATGGTTTTTCCAGTGGTCATGTATGGATGTGAGAGTTGCACTATAACGAAAGCTGAGTGCTGAAGAATTGATGCTTTTGGACTGTGGTGTTGGAGAAGACTCTTGAGAGTCCCTCAGACTACAAGGAGATCCAACCAGTCCATCCTAAAGGAGATCAGTCCTGGGTGTTCATTGGAAGGACTGATGCTGAAGCTGAAACTTTAATACTTTGGCCACCTGATGGAAAGAGTCGACTCACTGGAAAAGACCCTGATGCTGGGAAACATTGAAGGCAGGTGGAGAAGGGGAGGACAGAGGATGAGACGGTTGGATGGCATCACCGACTTGATGGATGTGAGTTTGAGCAAGCTTCGGGAGTTGATGACGGACAGGGAGGCCTGGCGTGCTGAGGTCCATCGGGTCGCAGAGAGTTGGACACGACTGAGCGACTGAACTAAACTAAACTGGTGGTTTCTAGATTATGAATGAAGTCTCTCCAAAGATGTGTTTTCATTTCCCTTTAGACAAATGCCCAAGCACAGCAGAGCTGTGTCACAGGGCATGTAGGTATCTAAATGGATAAGAAACGCCCAAGGCTTTTCTAGACAGGCTGCACTGGTTTCTACTCCCCACTCCCCATCCCACAGTGGATTAAGGCTCTAGGCACTGCGCATCTTGGCTGAACTTTCAGCCATTCTGGCCGGTGTATAGCGGCATCTCCTGACCATGAATTCAGCGATGCTGTCTCCTCGTGTGCTGGTTGACCATTTGGTGTCTTTTTCTGTGACATGTCCAGAGAGACTGTTTTTTATTGATTTACGGGTATTCTTTGTTGTTGTTATTCAGTCCCTCAGTCGTGTCCAGCTGCTTGTGACCCCATGGACTGCAGCACGTCAGGCTTCCCTGTCCTTTACTATCTGCTCACACTCATGTCCATTGAATCAGTGATGCCATCCAACCATCTCATCCTCTGTCACCCCTTCCCCTCCTGCTCTCAATCTTTCCCAGCATCAGGGGGTTTCCAGTGAGTCAACTTTTTCCATCAGGTGGCCAAAGTATTGAAGCTTCAGCTTCAGCATCAGTCTTTCCAATGAATACTCAGGGTTGATTTCCTTTAGGATGGACTGGTTTGAGCTCCTTGCTGTCCAAGGGACTCTCAAGAGTCTCCCCCAGCACCACAATTTGGAAGCATCAATTCTTCGGGGCTCAAGCTTCTTGATGGTCCAACTTTCACATCCATACATGACTATTTTGGAAAAACCATAGCCTTGACTAGACGGACCTTTGTCGGCAGTGACGTCTCTGCACGAGCATTCCTTCCATACCCTAGATCCGAGGCCTCTGTGGACACGTGTGTTATATGTTGTATCTAAATATGTGTTGTGTGTTGTATGTAAATATGCTCCTCACGTTTATGGCTTGTCTTTCCATTCTCTTTGTGGTGTTGGTGTTTTTTGATAAACAGAGTTCTTAATGTCAATAAAGTACAATTTATCAAATTTTAAATTATGGTTAGTCCTTTTAGTGAACTATTTGAGAAATCTTTGCCTTCTTTATAATCATGAAGATATACTCCAATGTTTTGCAAATTTTTTAAACTTTTACATGCCACATCTCACATTAATTGTGTATATTCTGAGGCAGAATTCAAGGCACTCTATCTTTTCATAAGATGTTAATTGCTCAGACACCATTTAAAGGAGAGACTGACCCTTGCTCACTAAACTCCAGCGGCACCTGGAACATAAGTGCTCAGATGTGTGAGCGGCTATGTCGGGACTAACCGGTTACATCAGCCTATTCACCTACCTCATCCCAGCACCACACTGTCTTACTTGTAGATTTACAGCTGCTTTTCACATATGGGACATAAGTCCTCTAAATTTGTTTTTCTTGATCAAAATAGTTTTGTTTTTTTGTGAATCGTTTACTGCTGTTGCTGTTCAGTTGCTCAGTCGTCTCTGGCTCTCTGTGACCCCATGGACTGTAGCCCGCCAGGCTTCTCTGTCCATGGGATTTTCCAGGCAAGAACACTGGAGTGCGTTGCCACTTCTTACTCCATGGGGATCTTCCCAACCCAGGGATCGAACCTGCGTCTCCTGCATTGGCAGGGAGGTCCTTTACCACTGAGCCAGCAGGGTATTTCCAAATAAATTTCAGATTCAGTTGTCAGCTCCTCCTATCCTTTCCCCCTGGGGTAGGGGAAGCCCTGCATGGATTTTGATTGGGGTTACAACGAGTCTGTAGATTAGTTTTGGGCTTCCCTGGTGCCCAAAACTTATGGGGTGCAGCAAAAACAGTACCAAGGGGAAAATATATAGCTATAAGGCTTACATTAAAATGGAGAAGGGAATGGCAACCCACTCCAGTATTCTTGCCTGGAGAATTCTATGGAGAGAGGAGCCTGGCGGGCTACAGTTCATGGGATCACAAAGAGTCGGACACAACTGAGCAACTAACACTTACATTAAAAAATGAGAAAAATCTCAAATCAATATATCTAATTTTACAATTTAAGAAACTAGAAAGAAAAAAAAAAACTAAATGCAAAGCTAGCAAAAGGAAAAAAATAATAAAGACTAGAGCAGAATTAACCAAAATAGAAAAATAGAGAAAATGAATAAAACGAAAAGTTGGCTAGATCAACAAAGTAGATGAACTTTTAGCTAGTTGGACTAAGAGAAAAACAGAGAAAACTCAAATTACTAAAGTCAAAAACTATACTGGGGACATTACTACTCACTTTATAAAAGTAAAAAAGATTATGAGAGTATTATGGACAGTTGCACATGAACAAACTGGATAAACTAGATGAATTACACAAGTTTTGAGAAACACCGAACCTGCCTAAACTAAATCACGCGGATATAGAAAACATGAATAGACCTATACGCACCAAGAGCTTCCCAGGTGGTGCTAGGAGTAAATTAAGCAAAAGTGAAAGTCGCTCAGTCGTGTCCGACCCTTTGCAACGCGATCCAACCCATGGAATTCCCCAGGCCAGAATACTGCAGTGGGTAGCCTTTCCAACCCAGGGATCAAACCCAGTCTCCCACATTGCAGCTGCACTCTTCACCAGCTCAGCCACAAGCGAAGCCCAGTGGTAAATGACCCACCTGCAAATGCAGGAGACATAAGAGATGTGGGTTCAATCCCTGGGTCAGGAGGATCTCCTGGAGAAGACCATGGCAACCCACTCCAGTGTTCTTGCCTGGAGAATCCCATGGACAGAGGAGGCTGGTGGGCCACAGTCCACGGGGTCGCAGAGAGTCGGACACGGCTGAGCGACTGAGCACACATACTCACTAAGGGGGTGAATCCGTGATCAAAGCCCAACAAGAAACGCTCTGGACACGGTGGCTTCACTGGGGAAACCAACCAAGCGTCTAAGGGAGAGTTCCCACCAGTCCTTCGCAAACTTTCTCCAAAATTGAACAGCTAATCAATAAATTCAGCAAAGTAGCAGAATATGAAGTCAACGTACAAAAATCAGTTTCATTTCTATTTTCTTTTTAATTCTATGATTATTTGTTTTCCATATTCTGTCATGGTACTCACTACATTCCAGTCCAGATTGTGTTGATCCCTTTAATGGAATCACCTTATTGCGAAATATCCTCTTTATGTCTATTAATATCTCAAATAAGATCAGAGATTTTAACTCAGCTCTCACAGTAACTCAGAGAACAAGCAGGTAAAATAATCGGCAAGAGTTTAGGTTTGAATAACTAACCCGACTTCGCTGATATTTTTTAAGAACACACCACCTAGCAATGCAGATACAAATTGTATTCAAGTGTGCATGAGACAGTCACCAAAACAGATCAGGGCTAGTCAGGGTCAAAAGCAAGTTCCAGCAAAATCCATGTCTATTCTATACAAAAAAGAACCTTGATGCTTCTTTCTTACCTCACACAGAAATTAAAATTAATCACAAAAAGCTAAAAGTGAAAGGAAAAACAATAAAGCATGTATTGTTGAGTATGCCAAAGCCTTTGACTGTGTGGATCACAACAAACTGTGGAAAATTCTTCAAGAGATGGGAATACCAGACCACCCGACCTGCCTCCTGAGAAATCTGTATGCAGGTCAAGAAGCAACAGTTAGAACTGGACATGGAGCAACAGACTGGTTCTAAATTGTGAAAGGAGTATCTCAAGGCTGTATATTGTCACCCTGCTTATTTAACTTATATGCAGAGTACATCATGAGAAACGCTGGGCTGGATGAAGCACAATCTGGAATCAAGACTGCCAGGAGAAATATCAATAACCTCAGATATGCAGATGACACCACCTTTATGGCAGTAAGCGAAGAACTAAAGAGCCTCTTGATGAAAGTGAAAGAGGAGAGTGAAAAAGTTGGCTTAAAACTCAACATTCAGAAAACTAAGATCATGGCATCTGGTCCCATCACTTCACGGCAAATAGATGGGGAAACAATGGAAACAGTGACAGACTTTATTTTGGGGGGGCTCCAAATTCACTGCAGATGGTGAGTGCAGCCATGAAGTTAAAACACGCTTGCTCCCTGGAAGAAAAGCTATGACCAACCTAGACAGCATATTAAAAAGCAGAGACGTTACTGTGACAACAAAGGTCCATCTAGTCAAGGCTATGGTTTTTCCAGTAGTCATGTATGGGTGTGAGAATTGGACTATAAAGAAAGCTGAGCACCACAGAATTGATGCTTTTGAACTGTGGTGTTGAAGAAGACTCTTGAGAGTCTCTTGGACTGCAAGGAGATCCAACCAGTCCATCTTAAAGGAGATCAGTCCTGAATATTCACTGGAAGGACTGATGCTGAAGCTGAAGCTCCAAAACTTTGGCCACCTGATTCGAAGAACGGACTCGTTTGAAAAGACCCTGATGCTGGGAAAGATTGAAGGCAGGAGGAGAAGGGGATGACGGAGGATGAGATGGTTGGATGGCATCACTGACTCAATGGACATGAGTTTGCGTAAACTCCAAGAGTTGGTGATGGACAGGGAGGCCTGGCGGGCTACAGTCCATGGGGTCGGAAAGAGTCGGACACGACTGAGCAACTGAACTGAACTGAACCAATTGTTAGTCGCTCAGTCGTGTCCAAGTCTTTGCGACCCCCTCAACTGTAGCCCGCCAGGCTCCTCTGTCCATGGAATTCTCCAGTCAAGAATAATGGAGTGGATAGCCATTCTCTTCTCCAGGGGATCCACCCTACTCAGTGATCAAACCAGGGTCTCCTGCACTGCAGACAGATTCTTTACGATCTAAGCCACCACGGAAGCCCAAAGCTCAGAAGAAATCACAAAGGAGCATCTTCATGATCCTGAGTAGACACTGTTTCCTTAACCAGGACTCTAAAGGCCTTATTATCATCACAGGGAAAAATTAACACTGGACCTCGTCAAAAAATACCATTAAGAGGTAAAACGACAAGTCACACACTAGGAAAAGGTACACTTAGTACATATCTTCAACAAAGGCAACAAATCAGTTTTATAAACAGAGCACTCACTTCTTTCTCTTTAACAATCAAAAGATTTCAAGAAGCACTTCATGAGAAAAGATATGCGAATGGCCAACAAGCACATGAACCCGGGCTCACCAGGCATCAGAGAAGTGCAGCCTGAGAGCACGAGGGGATGACCAGAAGGGAGCCCACAGAGCGTGACGGCGTCTGTCCACGCCGTGGGGTGGGCGCGTGCACACGCGCGGCCGCTGGCCCGTGGAGCTGCAGCACCAGTCTGGAAACCATCTAAGCCTGGCGGTAACTGGCATCCGACTGCCCCTCGGCGGCGGGAGTGAGCACCCTGCGGTCCGTGGCCAGGACGGGACTCGGCACCAACTACGCAGCAGGTAAATCTCACAGGTCTTGTGTTGGGCGGAAGTCACGTCTGCATGACGCTGTGGGTATGCAGTTCCACAGCCACATGGTGGGGGTGCTGGGAATCGAAGAAGCCGTGGCCTCGCACACTTTCACCCAGCTGGACAAATACCATTAGCACATGGCATGCCCTGTACTGTATTTATAGCCAGTAGAAAAGAAGAGAAAGAAAATACTTGATCCAAGAGAAGGAAAGGAGGACTACAACAACAGCAATGACCCAGGACGGTGCGTGTGGGCTGCAAGCAGACCCTCCAGAACGAGGGTGTTGCTTCCTGCCTTGTTCTCTTGGCCAACAGCCGCTCCCCAAGGGTGCTGGCCTGCCTCTGCCCAGCTCCCCTCTGTCGGCCATTAAAACAGCTCGCGCCCCTGAGCAGTGGGTCCCTGGGTATTGAGCGGCAATTGGAAGTCGTCGAGGGTCAGGAGGCCTGGGCCTAACAACTGCTGACTAGTCCCGACCCCCCAAGCCGAGCGGGCAGCCTGGCCGTGAAGGGGCCTCCACGCTGCTGCAGGCCTGAGCGACGCCAAGGACATGAAGGGTGTGGAAGGTGCAGGAGGAACACTGCCCACAGGCACCCCTGGGGTGTCATTTTATCAGTCCACTGGGGCCTGCACACCCCAACACCCAGAAAAGCATCCCAGATGTCCCAGAGGACACAGCTCTCCAGACCACCCCTGAGGGCAGCCCAGTGTCCTCTGGGCGACTCGGACATCGCCCCGGAGCCCGCCAACGGGTGTCTCACTGGATGAGCGCATAGTACTGCTGGGTCAGGTCGCTCCACTCGTCCTCCGTGAGGGCCCTGGCGGCGTCCTCGGTGAGGTCAATGTCTTCGTGCCCCAGCTGCCCCAGGTAGGCCTTGCACACCTTGCACGCGACGTCCACGAGCTGCCCCGACAGGCCCGTGAGCCTCGATCCTGCTCCCTCAGGAACTGAAACCCAAGCAAGGCACGGGGAGCCTCGACCTCCTCCTGTGCCCGTGGAACCCAGGCCACTACCCACCCCTGCGGGAGCCCAGGCCACCAGCTGCCCCCAGGGAGCCCGGGCCGCCGCCCACGCCCATGGAGCCCGGGTCACCGCCCCATGGAGTGCCACCCCACCTGTCTGCACCTCAAGGCCTTATGGTGAGGGGTCCCACATCTCTGGGTGGTCACCCTGGATGCCACACCTGGGTCGGGGCAGGTAACCTTTCCCCTCTCGAAGCTGCCCTCCCACTGTGCTGTGCCCGCCCCTCTCTGCCCCCCCCCCCAACTGGACTCTCAGCCCCTCGATGGAAAAGAAACCACACTTCTGATGAGCTTGTCACAAAACCTCTGCTTCTGAGCACATACTTGGTCCTCAGTGAAAAAGAAATACCCCAATTTAAAAATGGAGGGAAGCTGAAAAAGTTTCTCACCCCAGAATATATACAGATGATAAAGAAGTATATTGAAAAACGTTCACCATGTTGGCAGAGGAATGCAAATTAAAACAGTTAGACACCACTACACACCTGTCAGAATGGTCACGATGCAGAACAGTGACATCACCAGATGCTGGTGAGGACATGGACAGGAACTCGCATCGTTGCAGGGGGGAATGCAAAATGGGGCAGCGACCACTTTGGAGCACAGTTTGGCAGTTTCTCACCAAACGAAAAACACACACTCTTGCAGTCATGGTCCTTGGTATTTACCAAGTGAGTTGAAAACTTATGGCTGCTCAAAACTCTCTATGCAGATTTAATCCCAACTGCCAAGACTCAGAAGCAACCCAGGTGCCCTTGGATGCCCAAGTCATCAGATGACTCGATGAACAAAGTGTCCATCCAGACTGGGAAATGTTACTCAGTGCTAAAGAGAAATGAGCTCCTGGGTCATGAAAAGATGCGGAGGAACCTTAAACGCATGTTAGTAAGTGAGAGGGGATTGAATCACATGTAGTTTATGATTCCAACTCCATGACATTTTGGAAAATGCAGAGCTGTGGCAACAATAAAAGAATCAGGTTTCAGGGGTGAAGAAGGAATGAACTGGCTGACCACGGAGGACTTTTATTGTTGTTTAGTTGCTCATTCGTGTCCGACTCTTTGCAACCCTGTGGACTGTTGTGCACCAGGCCTCTCTGTCCATGGGCTTTCCCAGGCAAGAATACTGGAGTGGGTTACCATTTCCTTCTCCAGAGGATCTTCCTGACCCAGGCATGGAACCCACGTCTCCTGCGTTGGCAGGCAGATTCTTTACCACTGAGCAGATTTTTAGGGCTCTGAACAATGCCATATTGGTGGATACATGTCATAGTACCTTTGTCCAAACCAAGAGGAAGCCCTGGCGTAGACTGTGGACTCTGATGATGACGTGTCAGTGTGGGTTCATCAGTTACAACGAATGTACTGTCTGGGGGGATGTTGATAGTGGGGGAGGCAGGGGCAGAGAGTACATGGGACATCTCTGTACCATCTGCTCCCATCTTGCTGTGAACCTTAAACTGTTCTATTCAAGTGAATAACAACCAAGAAAGACTTTTTGAGTTTTGTAGGCCTAATCCCACAGTGGGCCACATCTCCGACATGACCCAGGAGTGCCATTCCCATCGGATCCTGCCGGAGGAGCCTGGGGGCGGGGCAGAGCCGCAGCCGCGCCCCGGGAGCCCCGCCCACGGCCCCTCTGCCGGCGCCGCGCGCACACCTTTCCTGCGGCTGGCGGCGCTCTCGCGGGCCTCGTCCCGCCTGCTCCTCGGCTTGCTCCTGCTGCTCTGCTGGCTGACCACCCACTTCAGGATGCTGGAGGCCACCGTGCGCCGGAAGTCGTCTGCAAGGACACAAGGCCTCGCCCCCTCTGCCTGCGCCGGGGCCGGGCCCTCGGCCAGCGCCAGCCACGCTCAGCCCCGACGTTCTGCCCCTGCCAGGGTGTGCGGGGCCTTGCTCCTGCCTCGCGGCCCTCCGGGGAGCCAGGCGCTCCCCACTGCCCCCTTGTCCACACCGTCCGTTCCTACCTCCTCCCGCCTCTGCAGACCGGACTCACAGCCGGGACGTCCCCCGCGGCCACGCATCCACCTGCCCATAGACCCAGAGGCAGAACCGGGCACCCCCTCTCCTGCGCCACCCGGGCTGTGGTCCAGAGGCACCCTCACCCCCTCTGCCTGCCCAGCGTCCTCAGCCCTGCACAGACGGATCCTTCCAGAAGCGCCCTCTGCGGACGGCAGCGGCACTCTCCCCCTCACCGGAGGGGCCTCCCTGGAAGCTGGGTCCACAGCTCTAAGTGCAAGTGGCCGGGGGTCCTGCGGCGCCCACCCAGCATGAAGGTGGCTCAGGGTCCCCCAAACTCAGGCTCGGCCCAGGGCTGGCTCTGGGCGCCGGTCACCATTAGGGGAGGTTCCCCACCCCGACTCCAGACTAACGCCTCCAACAGCGCTCCTGATGAGCTCGCCACAAAACCTCTGCTTCTGAGCACAGACCACCCGGAGGTCTGTAAGATATCCCAGCACTTTCTCATGCAAACCTGCTCCTTCCACACCTCAGGGGAGGCCCCCCCAGCAGCTCCGGCCACCCTGGAGACACCCAGAAGGGGAGCGCCCCTCGCCGCCCCTCCACCCCTTCCTGTCCTGAAGTCTTGATGCACGAATACCTGAGCCCAAGGCCTGTGGGCGCCCTGCCCGCTCCCAACCTGGAGCCCCCGGCCTGCCACCCTCGCCCCGCTCCCTGGTCTCCGCCCAGACCCGCTCTCTCAGGGCGCCACCCACAGTCCCCTGCTGCCCCTGCCTGGCCCGCATCCAGCCACTCGCTCCTGGGGCCCCAGCCTGGGGTCCGCGGGCAGGGCAGTGTGCTGCACTGCGGCCGCATCTCCGCGGCCCATAGATGGGTGCTCAGGGGACACGGGCGCCCCCGCGCGACCCCCGGCCTGCCCTGCCCTGCCTGCCCCGCCTGCCCCGTCCTGTCCTTCTCTCTCCCGTGCCCCTGGGCAGGTCCGACCAGGAAGAGGCCTTTGTCCCCAGCCCAGAGACAGCACCGAGGGCTGGGACAGAACCGGCCCCCCACCTCCGGCCCTGAGGCCCGTCCTGCGGGCGGGGGGCCAGGTGGCAGAGAGGCCCTGGGCCTCCGGGCCCCACTCACCCAGGAACTCCTGCTTCTCACCCTCTGTGCAGAGGCTGTAGCAGCGCGGGAAGAAGGTGTCGGGGTTGGCCTGGACGTACCACGGCAGGCTCCGCATGCTCACACACAGCCCGATCTCCGGAGATAGCAGCACGTCAGGCCCGCAGGCTGCGCCAGGCCCACTCGGCCAGTCTGAGAGCCCGGGGGCCTGGCCGGGTGGCGCCAGCTTCAGTGGGCACTTCGGGGAGCAGACCCTCCCTGGCCCCCTGGCCCCTCCACCCCCCAGCCAACTGGCCAAACATCCAGGTCACCCGGCGAGCTGGCCAGGGCCTCGGCTCACCCTGTCGTCAGCGGCGGCTGTGGCAGGCCCGAGGGTGGACAGGGCCATCTGGGGGCGCCCAGGGAAGAGGGTGCTGCGTCTGCCACCCCCCCCGTTCCCTGCATGCTCAGCCTCAGGCCGGGAGGGGCAGAGAAGGGAGCGCCCTGGTCTACAGTGCGGCCCCCTCCCCCAGTGCGCCCGCCTGACGCCACACTCGTGGTTAGGGAGGCCCAGCCCAGCAGGCCATCTGGGGAAATGGGCCCCCGCCCCGAAGTCATGAGGCCATCTGCCGCCTGAGGTCTCTGCAGGGAGTGGGGCCCACTGCACCCCCGCAGGCAGCCCCCAGCCCAGAAGCACACCACTGGCCTGAGGCCTGGCGAGGTCGTCTGGGGGTCGCCCCGCGGGCAGCCAGGAGCCTCGTCCCGTCCCCCGTGTCATCTCTGACTGTTGAGGGGACGGTCCCCCCGCTGCCTGGGAAACCCCTTCTGCCGAGGGGCATGTGCAGGCCTGTCCGTCCCGGCTGGCCCCACCCCAACCTCAGCCTTCAGGGTAAGCGGGGAATGGCTGCCTGGGGTGGCTGGTGGCTGAAAGGGGGTGAGGGTGAGAAGTGGGTGGCGTGGCAGTGCTCCCAACATCTGGAAGTCACAGCACAGGTGAGGGTGGCCCCCCCCTGCCACCCCACCAACCCAGAGCCACTCCAGGGACCAGGGCCCAAGCCAGGCTGTGGGGAGAGCAGTCACTCGCCCTGTCTGGGGCTTGCCCTGCAGCCCAGAGGACAGTGATTCTGTGGCCTTGAGCCCACCCAGGGACACAGTGGGAGGCGCAGAGGCTCTGGGGAGGTTTGTGGGGAGCAGTGCCAAGCGTCTGTGGACACTGATGCCAGGCAGCCTCTGGCCAGGCCAGGAGCCTCCAGTCCTGGGAGGAGAGCTGAGGTGACCGGCGCCCCATGGGGCTGTGCAGCTCCAGAGGCGCTGGCATTTCAGGAGGCAGGGTGCTGCCCGCCTGCCCACCTGCCCAGGCCCCCACTCACCTTGGTGGTGAAGGACGCGGTCTTCCCGTAGTGGTTCAGCACCTGGTCACAGCTTAGGCTGTGATAGTCGACGATGTCCCTTTTGATTGTCCAGAGGAAGTAGGGCGTTTCATTTTTTACCAACCTGGACTGGCAAGAAGAAACCTTTCTCAGTACCCAGCATCTGAGGCTCACATCTCTAAGGGTGGGGCAGGCCCAGGGCGAAGGGTTCGGGGTTTAGGCTAAGAAGAGCGTGTGGTTTCCCATCCTGACGCAGCCTCGCACGTTCCTTGAGGGCCTTCCGCTGGCCCGTGTGGGAGCTGCTGTGACCACACAGGGCTTCCCATGCGAGGGGGTGGGGGGCTTGGACTCCGGGCGGCAGGGGCACCAAGCGGGGTCTGTGCTGCCCGCCCCGCAGGTGCTCGCTCTGGGACACGCTGGCTGCAGCCCCAGGGGAGCCCCCTCCCCGGCCGCCAGGACGCAGGCTCCTCTGCCTCCCCGAGCCTTCAGAGTGCAGGGGCCCAGGACCGCAGCTGAAGCAAGACTGGGAGTCCTTGGTGTCTGTGCTCTTGTGCTTGGTCAAAAATTCTAACCAAATACAGAGATATGAGAAGGGAAAAGGTTCTCCACGATCCTGCCCCTGAAGATGACCCAGACACCTTGGAGAAGACCCCTTGGGTCACGCCCGCAGACAGCATGTTAGGACCACCTGATGCCCGTGGCTCGAGTCAGCCCCCTTGATCCCCGTGGCCCGGCAGGACGGCTCCTCCCGCATACCATCACGCAGCGCTGCTGCTGGGGGCGGGCCGGGGGCCACAGGGAAGAGGGGGCTCCTGGACTGAGGCTGCCAACGCCACTCCCCGAGCTCACCCGACCCGGGTCCCTGGACTCGGGCTCAAGGCCTCGGTCCTTCCTCCCGCTCTCAGAGTCATGTGTGCAGTTCCTGTAGCCACTTTCCCAAGTAAGTCTCACCTGTTACAGGGTGTGATGAAGCGTCGTAGACGGATGTATAGAGAGCGCGTGGGGGCCACCCAGGCGCCTGAGGGGGGGCCCGGCCTCCAGTCCAGTGCTAACACCCCTGCCCCCCAGACTACCCGCACCCCCGACCCACGGCGCCTCCCCAGCCTCATGGTTGACTTTTGCAGAAAGAGATCCGCACCGGGAATAGGCATGACGCACTCACTGGCCTGTCAGGCCCTTGCCCATTTTCCATTTGATCAACATCCTCTTTGGGTGTGCGGGCGCTTCGCATACTCTGAGCAGGAGATCTGTGCAGTCTTAGGCCCTGCAAATTTCTCCCTGAGTAGCTGGTGTTTGTTCTCTTCACAGGGTCTCCCGGGGGCCAGGAGCTCTGCACGTCGGTGTGGTCAGTGCATCCCATTCTCCTCACAGTGGACGCTTTCTGGCCTGGTTTTAACTTTCTTTTCTCCCCTTGAGTCTCAGCGACCCTCCGTTACCTGCTGGCAGCCTCCCACAACCCCATGCAACTGCCTCCCTGTCCTCGCCAGCTCTGCCCAGCCCGTGATGGCTGACCTGCCGCCCAGCCAGCATCGAGGCCTGGGAGCCCAGCCCTGGGGGGCTCGCTCCAGCCGGGGTGGGCCACGTGCAGCAGACAGCACCTCCACCACCACTGCCTGGGGGCTGTGCAACCCCGTCCCACAGGGTCTCCACAGACGGCAGGCTCAGCTCATCTGTTCACACGGGAGCACGGATGCGGGGCCCACGGGGAGGCCCAGGTGGACGCACACAGGGCACATGGACGAAGGGACGTCCTCAAAGCTGGGTGTGACTGTGGCTTTGCTGCCGCCCTCACCTCCCAGGGTGCAGCACAGAGGAGGAAGGAAACGTCTGGCCGAGGTGCCCCAGGAGCCCACGGGAACCTACCATCACATCGTGGATGTCGTCTGCTTTCTCTAAAGCCACATCTTGACTCTCTTTGCCTTCAGCATGTTTGTTGTCTGCAAACACAACATACAAGAAATCAGCAAGTCACTGACCACAGCCAGGCCCACCACTGGGCCCAGGGCAGAGCAGTGCCCCACGAGGAGCAGGTCCCATGAGGAGCACGGCTAAGTCAGGCTTGGGCCGCGGTGCCCCCCCAAGTGTCCACTGAACCGACCTGGGCCATGAACTGCGGAATGAGTGGGGTCCAACAACTGCCTGCAGGCCGAGTGGAGACCCTGGAGCCAAGAGGGCGCAGACTCCGTGGGGAGGGGAGCGGGCCCGGCTGGGGTCAGGGAGGACCGGGTGGGCAGGGGCAGCGGGGGAAGCACAGCAGGGGGCCACGTGGGGGCTGGGAGGGAGCTGGGCCCCGAGAGGGACTCCGGGCCCGGCCGCCGACGGACGGTGGGCGACGTCCAGGCACAGGGACGCCTGGACGTGGATGGGGACACACCTGGAAGTGACCGGAACCAGGGCTTGAAGGGGCTCGTTGACGCCCGGACGCCTGGGACGGGGCCAAGCGGCGAGCCCCTCCCCCGGGAGGCCACAGTGCAGGGCCCGCCGCTCCGCGTGGAACCCACACACTCGGGGTCTCCATGACAGGCACACACGTTTCACGCAGAACACACACGCCGATACTCTACCCGGCACCCCTTCCCCGTCGCCGTCGACACTCGGCACGAACTTGGTCAGAAAGTGGAATTTCTTTTCCACCCAGCCCTTCCTCCTCAGGGTGGTCCGGATCACTGGGTAGTGTCCGTAGATGGAGAAGATCTTCTTTTCCTCAAATTGCAAGTGTATTTGAAATTAAAGAATGGAAAATAAGTTAATCCTGTCTCTATAACACAGTCTGCAGTCAGGGTGAGGGACGGTCCCGGCGGGAAGTTCTCGGTTGCACTCTGAGTCGGGCAGGCCCACCTCTGCTGTGTGGCCACGGCCCCGGGCATGGGGGCTGTGCACGCACAGGCCTCGCTCACACTCAGCCAGAGGAGGCACAGCCAGGACCTTGGGGCTTCTGGAGGCTCAGACCTCAGCTCGGGGCAGGTCGAGGTCTGAAGGGCGGGCCTCGGGGGTGGCCCGGGACCTGTGCGCTACTTTCCCGTACAAAGGTGACCGGCCCGCGCATCTGGGGAGCGGGAGGTGCTTGAGGTTTGAGGAGGGGTTGGGGGGCACTCAGATGCCCGGGAGGGGCCAGAGGGGCGGCGCCCCCACCTGGGCCAGCACCAGCGACCAGGACCCTGCCCACTACTGTGGGGATGAGCCAGTTGCCCGGGGCCAGGCAGAGGGCAGAGGCAGACAACCCTTTGCTTCCCAGCAGACAGTCGAGCGAAGACGGGCACGGCCACGTGGGGCCCGGGGCCCACGCTGCCGAGGCACACGTGGACACATGGCCTGGGCAGCAGCAGGGAGCAGGGGCGTGGGCAGCAGTGAGCTTAGGGCCTCGTGAGCTTGTGAGAGCAGGATGGGGCAGGAGGGGAGGCAGCTCAGACTCATGGGGTCCCTGACTAGACTCTGAAAGGCAGGGGGCCCTGGGTGGGCCTGGCCTAATCAGGTGTGCCCCTGAGAAGAGGGTCAGAAACCGAGACGGGCAGGGACTGTCTCTGCCCGCTGCTGGCTCTGAAGACGGCGCCACACATTCTACAGTCTCAGGGAAATCGATCCTGCCGACAAGCCCACAGAGCTCTGAGGAGGGACCTCCCGCCGTGGGCCTCCAGAGGCGACCCCCTGGCTTAGTGCCTCGACAGATGCGGAGCAGAGGGCCCAGCCTGCACCCTGACCCACAGGAGCTGGGAGATAGCCCGGGGCTGTGTCTAAGCAGCTAAGGCCGTGGTGGTCTCACACAGCAGGGGAGGGAGGGCCAGGACCACCTGCCAAGGACGTGTGGGCCTGTGGCCAGATGCTGGCAGCCCAGTTCCAGCCCCCTCGGGGGACGGCCGGGCCTCCTTCTGCTCAGATCATGGGCCCGGGGCCTGGCCTCACCCACCACAGGGCGAGGGGCCGCGGTGAGGAGGGGTGGGGGGTGACAATGGCAGGTCAGGGCCCACAGCTCCAGCAAGACCTCCTGCCCACACCCCCAGGTTCTCTGCTGATCCAGGGTCAGACTGAACGACTTCAGAAAACTGGCTTAACTGTAAGAAGCCAAGAGAGGACAAAACATACGGGAACTACAAAAGGACAACAGGTTCCAGCCTTCTAACACAAGAGGGAAAACGGGATTTTAAAAGAAATCAGTCCACAAGGAGGCATGAAGGGAGAGCAAAAATGAGCAGAAACCAAAGGAATGAAAGCCCACGGGAATACGCCAGCAGTTTAATTATGGACGAATACACAAAATGCTCCAGTTAAAAGGTAAGAAGTGCCAGACTACATCTTTTTCTTATCTCAATCTATGCTGTCCACAAGAGAAAATCAAAAGCACACGCCTACAGATAGGTAGAGAATAAAATGATCCAAGTATGAGACAGAATAACCTTTGTGACGAATATACATCACCAAAGTAAAGAAAAGCTTCGTACAATACGAGGCAGACATTCAGCTTGTCAGAACACACTCGTCTGCACCCGTTATCGGAGCTATAAATTACACACAGCAAAACCTGGAAGCAATACAAAGTAGACAAGTCCACAATTACACCAGGAGATTTACCACGCCACTATCAGTGAATTAAAGACCACAGGGACAAAAACACCTGAAAAACAGAAACAAACCCCTCAGGTCTGGAGGACTTGAAGAACTCAAATGAAAACCTCTTCCCTGATGACTGTGAATAGAGCACTCTACATCAACATCTATATAAATTAACAAAATGCTAGGCAGAAAGCAGGTCTGAATACATTTCAACGGAAATATATTATACCAATTACATTCTCAACCACAGTTAATCAAGCCAGCAATCAGTAACAAAATAACCAGAAACAACCCTTTTTACTGTTCTCCAGTTGACTGCTTAGCTGTGTCCGACTCTTTGCGACCCCAAGGACTGCAGCACGCCAGGCTCCTCTGTCCGCCACTATCTCCCAGGGCTTGCTCAAATTCATGTCCATTGAGTCAGTGATGTTATCTAATTATCTCATCCTCTGTCGTCCCCTTCTTCTTTTGCCTTCAATCATTCCCAGCATCAGGGTCTTTTCCAATGAGTCAGTTCTTCACATCAGGTGGCCAAAGTATTCATCTTCAGCATCAGCCAAGGAGTTTCATCTTCAGCATCAGTCTTTCCAATAAATATTCAGGACTGATTTCCTTTAGGATTGACTGGTTTGATCTCCATGCTGTCCAAGTCTTCTTCTAAAGCATCAATTCTTTGGCACTCAGCCTTCTTTATGGTCCAACTCTCACATCTGTACATGAGTACCGGAAAAACCGTAGCTTTGACTAAACGGACCTTTGTCGGCAAAGTAATGTCTCTGCTTTTTAAAATACTGTCTAGGTGTGTCATAGCTTTCCTTCTAAGGAGCAAGTGTCTTTTCATTCCATGGCTGCAGTCACCATCTGCACTGATATTGGAGCCCAAGAAAATTGTCTCACTGTTTCCATTGTTTCCCCATCTATTTGCCATGAAGTGATGGAACTGGATGCCATGATCTTCATTTTCTGAATGTTGAGGTTTCAGCCAACTTTTTCACTATCCTCTTTCACTTTCATAAAGAGGCTCTTCAGTTCCTCTTCGCTTTCTGCCATAAGGGTGGTGTCATCTGCATATCTGAGGCTATTGATGTTTCTCCCAGCAATCTTGATTCCAGCTTGTGATTCATCCAGTCAGGCATTTTGCACGATGTACTCTGCATGTAAGTTAAGTAAGTAAGGTGACAACATACAGCCTTGGCGTACTCTTTCCCAATTTTTAACCAGTCCATTGTTTCATGTCCAGTTCTAACTTCTGCTTCTTGACCTGCATACAGTTTTCTCAGGAGGCAGGTGAGGTGGTCTGGTATTCCCTTCTCTTTAAGAATTTTTCACAGTTTGCTGTGAGTCACACAGTCACAGGCTTAGCATAGTCAATGAAGCAGAAGCAAATGTTTTTCTGGAATTTCCTTGCTTTCTCTATGATCCAGCAAATGTTGGAAATTTGATCTCTGGTTCCTCTACCTTTTCTAAACCCAACTTATACATCTGGAAGTTCTCAGTTCACATATTGCTGAAGCCTAGTTGGAAGGATTTTGAGCATAACCTTGCCAGCATGTGAAATGAGCGCAACTGTCTGGTAGTTTGAACATTCTTTGGCATTGCCCTTCTTTGGGACTGGAATGAAAACTGACTTTTACCAGTCCTGTGGCCACTGCTGAGTTTTCCAAATTTGCTGATGCAATGAATGCAGCACTTTAACAGCATCATCTTTTAGGATTTTAATAATCTACCTGCCTAGAAATTAAGAACTATACTTTTAAGTAACCCACTATCAATGAAAATAGTATGAATTGTTAAATACTTTGAACTGTATCTCATCAAAAATACTACAAAATGAAATCTACTGAAATGCAACTGAAGCAGTACTTAGAGGGGTATTTGTAGCCCTAAACATTTATATGTTTTAAGGTCTCAAAAGAAAATCTGAAGTTAAATCTAAAGGTTAAATTCGATTTATAGGAAACCCCAGAAAGGACAATGATAGGAAGCACAAAAGGTTCATCCGTGGTTGCCAGGATTTGGGAATAACTAGGGCGAGAGGGGGCTTCCATGAGGGCGGCCGTGCTCTGCTGTGGCTGCGTGGGTTGATGCAGACTTCGAGTGTCTCCTGGGCTGTGCTTCCCTGCAGGTGCATCCAGCCCATCGCAGCCCCAGCTGTGTGCTTACAACCCCCGCACTCCCAGCTGTGCGCTGTGCTTCAGAAGGACATTAGGGCTGAGCGCATCTCCACACGTCACTGTGTGTTGGGTTTCTCGGGCTTCCCCGCCGTCCTGGCCTGAGCAAGGTGACGCACGGTAAGGATGAGAGTCACGTTCTCAGAGTGGAAGCTGTGGACTATCTGAAGAATGCCTGCCCTTCCTTATCCCCCCCGAAGGCTCCCATTCTGGTGAAAGCTGGGCCCCTCCCTAGGGGACGTGGTGGGTGTCCCGGGGCCCCATATGAGCACCAGAACTCCTCGCGCACACAAGCGTCCTCACCACGTCACTCGGGGGCCTGGGCCGAGGGTGGGAGGGCGATATGGGAGTTTGTCCCTCGTCTGAGACGTGTGTCCACAGCTGCGGCCAAACAACAGGGACACGTTGGCGCGCGGCTGTAGGAGAGGTTCTTACCACGTACGTGTCTGCACTTTCTGCATCTCAGAAGCATCACTTAGTTCAGAAGTAAAGGTCTAATGTACCATGACTCTGGCACAAGCCTCATGCCAGGGCCAGGACTGGGGGCACACCTCAGCGGCGGGGCATGTCACAGGCTACGGACTCCCTCTACAAACTCCAAAATGAATTACATTCTTAAAAAGAACCCCTCCCCATGGAGCCCCAGAGAGCGTTTACCTTGATTGCCTTGTCCGTTAGTTGCTTTGCTATTTTGAATCTGTCTAATTTGGGGGAAGAAACCAAGTCTTGTGAAACGCCTCGTTTTAATTCTGCAAAAGGAAAACAGACATGAAGGCAAAGGCAAGACCAAACCAGTTACACTCACACTCAGGAGATACCAGTCTGATCCCTGTGTCCAGCCCCCCATGGCAGGCGGCCCTCATAGACATTTCATAAAATTCCAAATGTGTATATACTTAATAATATAGCTTCAAATGTATAAAAACACAAGTAGACAGAGATTACAAAAAAAAAAAGACATAGAAAATCCAAATTCATATTGAGATACTTCAGCGAACCATTTGTCTCAGGAGAGGAAGGGCTGCCTGGGTGGCGCTAGGAGTGAAAAACCCACTTGCCAACGCAGGAGACATAAGACATGAGTTCCATCCCTGGGTCGGGAAGATCCCCTGGAGGAAGGCGTGGCAACCCACTCCAGTATTCTTGCCTGGAGGGTCCCATGGACCGAGGAGCCTGGTGAGCTACAGTCCATGGACGTGAAAAGACTCAGACAGGACTGAAGTGATCTAGCGCATGCTCAGAAAAGGAAAGCATAAACAAAGAATCAGTAAAATATAGCAGATTTGAATCTATCAGCCCCAAATGACGTCCACAAATCAAATCCACAGCTGAGGACACACTTTCTCTTCACATACCTTTTCCAACATAGATCACATACTGGGCCACAGGGTCTCCGCAAACTTCAGTGGATCAAAATGATATAAATTAAATTTTTTACCACTGAAGGAAACTAGAAATTAATAACAAAATGGTAACTAGAAATTTTTCTAAACGTTCAAAAATTCAGCTCCGTTCAGTTCAGTCGCTCAGTCGTGTCCAACTGTGCGACCCCATGGACCATAGCATGCCAGGCTTCCCTGTCCATCACCACCTCCTGGAGTTTGCTCAAACTCATGTCCATTGAGTCTGTGATGCCATCCAACCATCTCATCCTCTGTTGTCCCCTTCTCCTCCTGCCCTCAATCTTTCCCAACATCAGGGTCTTTTCCAAAGAGTCAGCTCTTCACATCAGGTGGCCAAAGTATTGGAGTTTCAGCTTCAGCGTCAGTCCTTCCAGTGACTATTCAGGACTGATTTCCTTTAGGATGAACTGGTTGTATCTCCTTGCAGTCCAAGGGACTCTCAAGGGCCTTCTCTAACACCACAGTTCAAAAGCATCAGTTCTTCAGAGCTCAGCGTTCTTTATGGTCCAACTCTCACATCCATATATGACCAATGGAAAAACCATAGCCTTGACTAGACGGACCTTTGTCAGCAAAGTAATGTCTCTGCTTTTTAATATGCTATCTATGTTGGTCATAGCTTTTCTTGCAAGGAGCAAGTGTCTTTTAATTTCATGGCTGCAGTCACCATCTGCAGTGATTATGGAGCCCCAAAATTAAGTAGCACACTTTTAAAATAAAGCATGGTTCAAAGGAGAAATCAGGTGGAAATGATGAGAACTGTGCGGCAGTGAAAACATGGCCCATCACAGTGTCAGAACACGAACGAAACTATGATTAGAGTTCTAAGAATACAAAGGTTGCTAATGTTTGAAAATCCATAACATAGTCCATTGATACAGTAAATAAAAATATGCAGAAGAAAACATGATAAAATGTAATAACTGTTCATTTTAAAACTCTCAGTAAACCAGGAATAAAAGGGAACTTCCTTTCAAACTTATAGAAGCAAGAATTCATGGGTGTTTAACTCATAATTTTTGTGAATGACAACTTAAAACATACTACTTGTACATTTTAAAGGGGAAATATTAACCAATGCGGCTTAGAGGAAGGTATCCTGGTGAACCTGGATCCATTTAGGACTTCTGTTATATAAATATAAATTCAGTTCTAAAATGAAAATTAGTATTTTGAATAAATTTTCCAAAGAAAATTTGACAGCTAAAGAAATGTGAAAAAGTAAATCATGGCTTTTTGTTTTGTTTTGTTTTTAAAAAAACTTATAGCAACATCATACTTCATGGTTAAACACTGAACACTCTCCTCTGGAGTTTAGAAACAAAAAAAAGATGTCCACTATATCACAGCTACTCAACATTATACTCAAAGTGCTAGCCCATGCAACAATGCAAGAAAAGGAAATAAGAGGTATAAAGACTGAAAAGATCTGCAGGTGATGACTGTGTATATAACACATTTAATTGTTACAATTAGTAAGTATATTTACTAAGGTCACCAACCACCAAGGCAGGAAAATGAATTCAACTGTATTTGTATACACTACAGACAATTAGAAAATGGAACTCAAAAATACCATCCATGTAGTGTTAAGCATGGACTATCTGGGAATGATTCTAACAAAGAGGTGGTGCCCACTTGTAACTAAAAGTGGGAACCTTGCCGACAAGATTGGAAGAGCTGATGCTCATGACCAGGGCACTGAATACTAAGATATTAATTCTATTCCCAGCTGATCTATATGTTCAGTGGAATCACACGTGTGTGTGTTGGGGGAGGGGTAAATTAACAATCGATCCTAAAAATGCAAAAGTCCAAGAAACCCTGCACACATCTTGAAGAAAAAAACAGAGAAATAGTGACTTACTATGAGGCTACTGAAATTAAAGCAGGTGGTTTGACGTTAGGATAGGCAGATAGATCAATAGAACAGATAGAGGCGTCCAGAGCCTGAACTTGACAGTCACTTTCAGAAAACCCGGGAGGACGGGCAGAGGACAATACTGACTAGATTCTGCTCTGCGCTCCCCTTCCAACGACGTGGGCTCTGATGGCAGCCTGTCCGGTTCACCTGGCTCCATCCCTGCTTCGACCTCGGCCTCGGGCCCCTCCTCCTTGCTCCCTTCTACCACCTGGGCCCCTGCAGAGAGGTATGGGCGCAGGCTAGAGGCGGGGAGCACAGATGGGGGGAGGGGAGGAAGGAGAGTCTGGAGTGGAGAGGGGACTCTGGGGTTGGGCAGGCAGGGCTGCGGTGGAGGGAGAAGTCTGGGGTTGGGGGAGTCTGGGTTTCGGGGGCAGGGATGGGATGGAAGGGGAGTCTGGGGGTGGGTGCCTGGGGTTGAAGGGCAGGGCTGCTGTAGAGGGGGGAGTCTGGGGGTGGGGGGGCCGGCTTGGGTTGGGGGGACGCAGGTCCAGGCCCCCAAGGGCCGGGATTCAGAGGTGGAGGGCTGGGCGGGCCTGGAGTTGCGAAGGAAGTGTAGGTCTGGGGCTCCACGGGTGGTCTGGAATCCCGAGGGCGGGGCGGGGGCAGACTACGGGCCCAGGCGTAGGGTTCGGAGGGAGGCGGGCTCAGTGCTCACCCGGGCCGGTCCGCGTGCCCCCGCCCCCCGTCGCGCTGTCTCGCGTCCTGCGGTTGCCCTGGGCGACAGACCCCGGCGGCGCGGCGCATTGTGCAGCCCGGGGGCGCCGGCGGCGGGGCCTCGCAGGCGCGGCGGGGCGGCCGGAGCGGGGCGTGGGGCTTCGCGGGCGCCGGGGCGGCGGGGTGCGGCGGAGGCGGCGGTGCGGGCGGCTCCGGGCGCGGCCCCGAGCGCAGCTCCGGGCGCGGCGGCGTGCGGGGGGCGTCGGGGGTGTTGGGTCCCACGGGCCACGGTTGAGAGCACCTAGGCGGCGCCCCGGAAGGGGGCTGCAGTCCGAGACGCGGCCGCGGCCGGCGTGGAGACCGGGGCGCGAGGCACGGAGCATGGTGACCGCGGGGAGGAGGGCCCACGAGTGGCATGCGCCCTGCCCGGGGTCACGCAATCCCGCCCCGCGCGGCTGTCGGGGTCACACAGACCCGCCGTGGCAATCAGAGCCCCACAAGTCATAAAGACCCGAAGGTCACACACCTGGGACCCCGCCCTTGCAGGACAAGCCGACCATCCAGGTCTGGCTCCGCCCTGCTAAACATCCAGTGTTCCTGGGAAGACGACCCTAGACTTCCAGGAGCTGTGCCGTGTTCCCTGGGTCACTCGTGGGGCTTGAAGTGACGCCCGGGAGTTCCGAGCACCAGCCAGCATCCCAGCTACCCAGATGTCCAGCCTCTCTGGTCCAGCATCTTTGTAGAGGGAGGGGTGAATAGGAAAGATCCACCTACCCCATCGGTGCCTTCCTCCTGGTAACTTTCCAAAATCTAGATGTCATCTTTATTTGGTTTAAACATCTTTATTTTGCATTTGACTTCCCGAGATAACCCCAGAGCGAGGCTCTGTGCCCATTCTGTGGGGGGTGGAGGGTACCGGGAGAGGCACCAGTGCCTTCCCAGCCTCCTCCCACCCCACCTGCAGACGGGCTCAGGGCTATGGTAAATCATGAATTAAAAGCACCCCCTTCCCCATGCCTTTACGTCTTAGTTGTTTCAGAACCTGGGCACGGAGATGCAGGGCGACCCAAAGTGAAATAGGCCACTGGCCACAATGACATGTTAGCATTTATTGCTCAGGCAGTATTAAATTATATCACACAAAAATGTAAATTGACAGAGACAGGACTATGCAGTTTAAGACCCCACTTGTGTGAATGTTTTGCGCTCTCTCTGAAGTTAGAAGTGCCTGTGCAGCCCCAGGCACTCACTCCAGCTGTCAGGCTCCAACTTCCTGGCCTCCTAGAGACGTCCGTGTCACCTGCGCTCCCCCTGTGGCTTTCACCCAGCCTGAGGGGCTGGGAGGGGGAGGTGGCCCCCACGGGCTGCACGTGGGTGGGGTCTGCTTGTGTGCAGACAGCCCCTCAGTGCTTCCGTGCTTGTTTGGGGACTTGACCAAGGCCTATGTCTGCCCGGCCTGCCGGGGACACGAGGCCATCAAGGCATGGAGATGTGGCCTGTCCATTTTCAGAGCTGTGGACAGGCTCAGCCACAGCCGTGGCCCATCCAGAGAACGCTGAGCTGCCACGCGGTCAGGATGGACTTCTGTGTTGACAGAGGCTTCAGGACAAGAGCATGCTGACCACCACTGAGCTGGGTCTCTACCGGCTGTGCCCAACATGGGTGAGGGCCCTTCCGGAAACACTGGGGTTAAGTGTAAAAAGAGGTCAGAAATGCAGGCCCGTGGGTTTCACATGGGGACACCGCGGGTCGAGTGGGGGCTGCCCGCGCCTGAAAGCTCTGCAGGCTCTGGGGCAGGCAGGAAGCAGCTCTGCCTGCTCCGGGGGAAATCGAGGCTTGGCAGGCTGCCCCCCTCGCCTGGAGGATAGAAGTGTGGAGATGGGTAAGGTCCATGCAGGGATGCAGGGCTGGGCACACAGCAGGTGCAAATCAGAGCAGGGCAGGGAGGCCGAGCACAGTGCGGGCGAGCACGCCGGCAGCCTGGGGCCCAGGGCTGCCCAGCGATCAGCGCCGGCAGGGTTCGGCTCCAGCCCGGCCCTTCCTCACCAGGGGCCCCATGCCGCGGCTCCTATGGTCAGGCCACCTCGGCATCACTGAACTGATCGCCCCTCAATAAGCGCAAAGCAGTCAACATCTGCCTATTTTAAAATTAAACCACAAGAAATGAGAAAACTCCACCTTGAACCTGGCCCTCCGCAGGAAAGGGGAGGGGCGGGCGGGGGTTGCAGCTTGGGGGCAACTAGCGTCTGGGTGTTAGGGTGCCGGGGCGCGGGCCCTGGGCCTTGGCAGCCCGCGTGCGGTCACTGGGCCATCTGCACCACGACAGCTCTCCAAGCTTTCTCCTTGTCGAACTCCTTCAGGGGGCTTCTGGCCACCTGCAACTGAGGACAGCGTATCTGTCCAGGGCCGCCCACCCCGTGCAGGAAGCAGGGGAGGCCCTGACCCCCTCACTGGCCCTCCCAACTCTCCCAGACGTCCCCCACCCCGTGCCATCCGCAGGGGCTGGGCTGGCACCCACACCTGCCTCATGAGGCCTCTTCCTGCGTGCCCGCATCCTGCACCCAGCAGGGCAGCCTCGGCACACGGCAGGTGCTCAGTGAGTGCTGCGGACGGGCAATAATGCTTTCCCGGGCACAGCGGCAAGTCCCGCCAGCTCTCCCTGGGGGAGGGGACAGATGCCCCCCATACCAGGAGGCTGGACCTGGCCCTGGAGGCTGTGAGGCAGCTCCAGGGCCGTGATCCCTGGGAGGGAGGGCATCTGAAGCAGCCAGTGGTCACCAAACAGGGTGGACCGCTGCCCGGATTGGCCCTCCTGAGCCCCAGAATGGCAGCTCTGGAACCAGCCGGGAGGACCCACTGGATTGACGCTGCATCTTGACGTCCTGATATGGAGCCAGGTGGACCTCACGTGGGGCCTGGGGACACAGCGGTCCCTGCGGGAGACTGACCACAGCCGGGTGAAAACGACAAGCGAGCGACGACGCCCGAGCAGCGCCCAGCGGGTGGGGGGCTGGCAGCGCTGGGCTTGCCCCAGGAGGTGCCGCGCGGAGCGCAGGGGAGGCCCACTCGACTCGCCGTGTCCCCACGGGAAACCCACGGGCCTGCGTTTCTCACCTGTTTTTACGCTAAACCCAGTTTTCCCGGAGGGGCCCTGGTCCATGCTGGGCTGTCCTGCGCAGCCCGTAAGTAAACCGGGTGGGCCCAGGGGGCAACCAGGCAGGAGGAGTGTCTGGTCCACCCAGGGTGCCCTCCCCAGGTGCCCAGGCATGGTGCTGCCTGGGGGACAGTAGGCAGGTGTGTCCAGCCAAAGCGCCATAGCAGACAGCACCCGGAAGAAGCCATCCACTTGTGGGGACAAGGGGCGGGGCCCGGGCAGAGTGCAGCGGCCATGAGCCTGGCGGAAGGGCTGGCGTGAGTCGTCAGAGCCCCCGTCACAGGCCCTGGACACACATCTACAGGGGGTGGGCTGGGCTCCCCTTCCTGGCCAGGCTGCTGGAGGGAGAGCCCTGTGATCCCTGAAGATGTTTGCCAAGTTCTCAGCTCATTTATAAGAGTAAAACTGGAAGCATTCAGTCCATAATATCTTTTCAGAAATGGATTTGTGTTTGCCTGGCTGGCTTAGAAACTGTATAAATGTATTGCACCTTTTCAAGAGTTTTCTTTGTTTTAAAAAGAGAAAGTGACCCAACAGGTCTTGAAAGAAGTCAGCCTGGGCTGGTGTCGCTTTGCCCAGGGTCCCAGGATGGCAGGGCCCCCCCGCCCCCGGATGGGCTCAGAGGCCACTCACCTCCCCGGCCGCCGGGCGCTCCTGTGGGCTGGGCGGGGCGCCCGCAGCGTCCCAGGACGCGCCCACCTTGAAGCGCACACACTGGATAACCGTGGCTGTGTTGAGGCCCGCCTGCAGCAGCAGCTCCAGCATCAGCATCAGCAGCAGCGCATCGTAGGATTGCTGGGGGCGAGAGGTGAGCAGGAGACGGGGGAGAGGGCAGGAGCGGGGGATGGCAGGCCGCACACCCTGCTCCCTCTCAGCCGCTACCCCCCAACCCCACTGTGTGGCCCCTCGGCCAGGAGGCTCCCAAAGCAGAGACCCCGACCCCTGGTGTAGTTACATGGAGCAGTTTCAGCTTCCCATTCCTCGGGGGCCCTACCGTGTCACCAGCCAGGGCAGTGATCACTGTCTCAGTGAGCCAGAGCTGAGGAGCTCAGTTCTGGTCTGAGCTCTGTCATCCTGGACTTAATGGAAGACCCGCATAAACATGACCCAAAGGCAGCCAGGCCCCTGACGGTGCTGCCTGGCTTGTCTTCCAGGCCCCCCAGCAGGGCCAGAGAGGAGCTGCTGAAACGATCTATGGCCTCCCGGAGGGTGCCTGGTGACACAAAGGCGAGTTCTGTGTGAGACGCCAGTGGAAGCCCAGAGCCGGAGGAGAAACAGGGACACAGGCTCCAAAGAAAGACTGGCAGACCAGCTCCAGCAGAAGCTGGGGGGCCTGTACTGACTACTGCGAGGAGGCGTCTGCCCCGGACCACAGGAGCAGGGGGTGGCACGCCTTGGGGAGGGGGCTGCCAGCAAACCTAGGAGGAAGCCCTAGGGTCTGTAAAGACACCCACAGACCACTGGCTCTCTCCTCACACTGCAGGGTGACCTTCCAGCCTCAGAAACACAAAGCAACCAAACGTTAAGACAAAGAACCCAGATGCGGTCACTGTTTAAAAGAGAGACTCAGCGTCTCTCACATTAACCTGCACACTTAAGGGTGAGTCCAGTTTTTCTAAAAACGCAACACTGTGTTTTCTTGAGTCAGGCAGGGTGATTCTAAAATTCACACAGGAACCTTCTGGTAGTCCAGTGGTTCAGAATCTGCCTCCCAATGCAGAGGACGTGGGACTGATCCCTGCTTGGGGAACTAAGACCCCGCCTGCCACTGGGCAGCCCAGCCCAAGTGCCACAGCTGCGGAATCTGCGCTGGAGGGCCCGCGTGCCCCAGCGAGAGAGACACGCACGTGCCGCAATGAAGCATCCCACACGCTACACCCGAGATCCGACGCAGCGCAAAATAAACATTTCTTAAAAATCTAAAAAATAAAATTCATATATAAGAACAAACAAGTGACAGAAGTGAGGAAGCCCTGAAATGCAGGGCAGTTGGCATCAAGCCAGCCAGGTGGTGATGGCCTGGTGCCAACCTCCAGGGTGGACAGAGCAGCACAGATTGGCTGCGAGAGGACAGTCAGGGCAGAGAGAGACCCAGATAGACAGAAGCTCAGTGCATGAAAAAGGCAGAGTCTCAGAAGACAGAAAAAGATGGGCTTTCTAATACAAGGGGCTGAACCTTTCCTTTACAGATGAGCCTTTCGAGTAAAGTCCAATTGGGCCCACTCCTCA